GGCGGCCGCAGTTGGACGGGCATGGCGGACCGGCGGCGCGCGTGGAACACGGAGGACGACCTGCCGGTGTACCTGGCTCGGCCGGGCAGCGCGGCTCAGACCCCGCGTCAGAAGTACGGCGGCATGTTCGCCGCGGTGGAGGGCGCCTACGAGAACAAGACCATCGACTTCGACGCGTACAGCGTGGGCCGCCGCGGTTCGGCGCGCACGCCCCGCAGCTCCGGCCGGCTCGATGCGTCCGGCCTGCCGGGACCAGGTGGCAGCGAGGACACGGCGAGCGACATCAGCGAGCCCTCGGGCTCAGCCGTCAGCTCGCCCGGAGAGCGCGACGAGCGGCCGCCGGCTCTGCGCATCCGCTGCCCGGCCCCCCGAGACCTGCCGCTCGGCCGGGACAATGGGCAGGTACACTCGAGGCGCGTGGGCCGGGGCGGGGCGGGGCCCTCTGGGCCACTGGGCGTGGGGCCGCCTGAACCCAGAGGCCAGCCCACTGGCTGGGCGCCACCACGGGCTTTGGGGGAGCTGCGGGCTGGCCCCTCCCCCACCCCGTCTTACATAGGTTTGGAGAAATTGAGCTACTCGGCCAGGGCTGGCCAGCATAAGCCGTGAGACCCTGCAGGGACTTGTCCGGCCCAATTCTCGTCCCTCTATTCAGAAAGGGAGAGCGAGGTTCCGAGAGAGAGGAAGAAGTTGACTAAAGCCGCCTCGTGGACCTTAGACCGTGAAGGGACCTGTAAGGCATTGGATGCAGGACTCCTGGTCGGTGTCCGTCTTATGAAAGGAAGAGGAGGCCTGTGCCGCGTCCGTCCATTCACCACCCACCCATCGTTATAAAGTACCGACTAGGTACCAGCAGCTAGGCAAGGTTAAGCGGTTGTCTGCGGCCACAGAGCTAGGGACCTTTGCTACAAGCTGCACGCGTGCCGGGGGCGGGAAGGAGGTAGGGTTCGGTCAAAGATTTAGATCCTGTGCAATTGGAACTGAAACCTCTACCCCAGAAATCATTAGGGACGCGGTGTGCCGACTTCAGAGGACCAGTTGAAGGCAGGACTGGGTTTTGAACTGCCGTTTGTAGGCTTGGAAGTGTTTTCTTTTGTTGGTTTGTTTTCTTCTTTTCCTCTGAGAATGAGAGAGCTTCAGGGAAAGGGAACGCCATATATTAGTCCTGAGTCTGTCCCTAGAGCTCTGAGACCCCAGGTTACAGAGAAAGTCTGTGAGGGTCAGGACAGGGGCAAAATAAAGGCTGGGTGCTCAAGGCTGCCTGCGGGCAGGCAAGTGGTCATGTCTGGGTGTTGCTCGGTGTCAGACCTCGGTGGGCATTTGAGTGCCCGGGTCAGCAACCTGATCCCGCTCTCCAGAAGTTCCCATACTACAGTGGGCGATGACTGACTGAGAACCAACTCAGTTAATGCTTGTAGGTAGTGAATGTTCAATACTATCATTTTATTACCCTTTTACATGCTAAGACAGGTATGCAGTGACTCCGAAGGAAGCAGAAGTGGACCCACTGGGAGGGCTTTCTGGATCCGCGGAACTAGCCCGGTTGCCGGGAGCACTAGTGGGCCTCCTACCCGCAGCCCCTCTCCTGTGGCCCTGTTGCTAGGGAGCTCTCCGCGGTCCTGAATACGGCGTGTGGGGAGAGCTACAGTAGGGTTGTGTGTGTGGCGAGGGAGATGGAGGGAGAGCCTGTCCCTCCACTGTTCTCCTTTCTCCCGCTGCCCACACCCTGCCCCGGCGGCCCGATCTCGCTAAGGCTGCAGGCTCCGGAGCGGCTTCAGAGCCGCGGACTGAGATGTTGGGCGTGAGTCCGGGAACCTGAGCTTCCAGTCAAGGCGCTTCGCCCTCTTGAGCCTCAGCTTCCCCTTCTGTGAAATGGTACAGCAGTCTTCTCCCAGTCTTGATCAAGGCATGGTGGAAGGGTGGCAGGTGTGAACACTTGGCGCATGGCTAGTTATGGAGGCGCGTCTAGGCAGGACTGTCCATGTTCCAATGCCCGCCCTAGCCCAGGCTCTGCAGAGGTCGACCCTCAGTCTCTCCTGTGTCCCCTCAGCAGTTTAGCCTGCTTCCCCGTTTCTCCACCAATGGCCTGTGGACAAAAGGCGGCGCTGCGGATGAGTGGAGAACCCTGGACGCTCTTGCTGTTAGGGGCTGTGGAGGCTGTCAGGCCCCGGATGAAGAATGTCACTGTCTAGGACCAAGCGGCTGAGGCTCTAGGGTTCCAGCCGCTCTGGTTCGGGGCGGGCCTACGGCTCCAGCGCTTTACAGGGTAGCTTGGCCCTTCCCCTGGCTACCAGCTCTTCCCTGGGGAGGGAGGAGGGATCTATGAAGCGCATGTGCAACGTTTTCCAGGGCCTGAGGCTGAGCCACTGCATCGCTTTGTAGCCTGGACATCTGCTTGAGAGCAGCGGTTTGTTTAGTCTGTCTTGGACCTGTGTCACTAGCTCAATTCAGTCCTCATCCCTGGAGGTCTCTCTTGGCAGGCTGACCCCTGGGGACGTCCTTGTGCAGGTCTCTGAAAGCTGAGGAAGTGGACGTAGAGTCTGGGGAGGGAAAGTGTCCCCACCCGCGAGAGAGAGCCAGGGTCCAGCTCACAGCTCAGCTGGGCAGACCTCTGGGGAGAGAGAGGCAAGGGCCACCGGGAGGGCACTCAATACTGGGGATACCCGCTGCCCCCAGCCCGTGTCAGCTCACCAACAGTGAACCTCCTACAGGTCCCATGGCTTGCTCATTTGTAAAACGGGGAGAGTATGGTGTAGTCTTGCTGGACCCTACGCTGCTTGAGCTCTGAGAATCCACAGCGCCACCCCCATTTCTAGTCTCAGGCACCTCTGGTAGTCTCCAGCCCTGAGCACAGCTGGCTTTGGTGAGTGTTCCAGAACCTACTCTTGAGGTAAATAAAGGCTTTGTCAAACCCAGCCCTTCCCTCCCTGAGTGGTAACTTGAAAGTACAGAAGGGCAGTCCTCCCTGAGGTTCAGAAAGTGGCTGACAGGGAGAGGTTGGCGTTTTAGTCTGCCAATTAATCCAGGTACCGGTCCTGAGGGGGCGGTTCAAGCTCATCAGCTGCTCCTTGAAAACCCTACACAGGGTCGCTATGGGTGGGAAACGACTTGACAGCACTTCACAACAACAATTAACCCAGGTTCCTGTGGGGACTATACTGAGGCCCCCTTTTCCCTCTTCCATCCTCTAACTTCTCCTGTTATGAGGTATACCAAGTCATGTTCTGGCCTCCTGTCCACTTCCCCCACAGCAGCTGGATAGAGAGGCCAGAGCTGGTGTCCACTCGGCATTGGCCAGCCTGAGTTGCTGGTTGTTTTTGTTCCCACACTGCAGCCTGGCTCCAGTCGGGGAGGACCTCAGTGCCAATGGCCTGGTCCTCGGGCATTCATTCAGAGTCTGGTCAGCAAGATTTCCCGGTTAGCCCTGGTCCTAGCGCTGCTGCATGCAGTGCGTTGAGGTCAGCCACTGGAGTGTCTCTTAGCTGGTCAGCGCTGACCTCCAGCCTGGAACTGTAGAGGGGGCAAGGATAGAGAGTTGTGTTGGGTCTGTTCAGGGAGTGGTGAGGGGTACACTAGAGCCTGAGGGGGCTTTGGGGCTGGTCTTGGAAGGCCGCGAACGGTCCTAGCAGGTTGGAAGGTTTACACCGGCCCACACTGCCCCCACCCCGAAAGCTCTGGGGGCGCCCAGGTGTGGAGCCGCACACGTGTGGCGTGTCGAAGCTCACTGGTTTGTCTGCGCATCCAGAGGCCGTCTCTTGCTTTTAAAAGAACCCTGAAAAAACCAGCCTTTCCATGTGCGAGCGCGATGCCGGGGACCAGCCGCGGGCACGCGCGGGGTGGGGGTCGTTCGACTGGGCGGGTGGGGGTGAGGGGCGGAGTAGGGGGATCGCAAGACAAGCGCTTCCTGGTTCGAGCTGAGAGGGGCGGATTGGGTTCGGCTCCACGCCGCCGGGAGGAGCTCTCGGTCTGCAGCCCCCTCCTCCCGCCCTCCCCCCTCCTCCTCTCGCCTCCTCGGGGAGCCGGGCGGTGCTGGGAGCCGAGCAGCCGGGCACGCTCGTCCCTCTCTTCGTCCTTCTGGACCTTTGTCACTGAGTCGAGGGGAGCGGGACCCAAAAAGCCTAGTGTGTCGCGCCTGTCGCGGGCGCGAGGGGCCATGTCTTACCAAGACAAGAAGAGTATTGCGCACATCACGGTAAGCCACGCGTCCGCCGCTCTTTGTAGGGTGGGGGTCTTAGGCGGCCGCGCGGCCCGGGAGGCTTCCTGTGTCGCTGCGGGTGGGGCGGGGCTGCTTTCAGCATTGTCGCCCCCTCCCCCAGGCTCTGGGGACAATGGCTCGGGCCCGCCGGGCTGGGCGGGGCTGGAGCCTGGGGTCCCTCTCGCAGCTGGCTGGGAGCCCCCTCCCCCCACCAGTTGAGCCGGAGGCTGGTGGGGGGCGACGGGATGCAGAGCTGAACAAAAGAGGGAGGGGCGCTGGGTCCGCACGGCCTCCTTCGCTCGGGCGCCACTAGCGGGAGAGGGAAAGGGACGCTGGCTCAAGCCGCCGGCTCTATCCCTGATGCTCCCCTTCCCAGTCCAGAGGGAGGAAATAGGTTCCCGAGCCCCTTCAGTACCAATGGTGTGTAAATTGCACCCAGAGACAGCACCGTGAGGAAGACCCCCCTCCTACTCTCCACCACAGTTCAAACCCATCGACTGGGGCGACCCTGGCAGCCGCGGCTCTGCATGGTTCAAGCGGCCGATTGAGGCAGGGAGTCGGTGGGGGCTGGGCAGCCAAGCAGCGTGTCCTTGGGTGTGGCCGGAAACAAAGGAACCTGGTTTGCAGGCAGTTTCTCTGGGGGTGTGGCGCTGAGGGTCTGGGGTCAGAAGCTTGGCCTCTTCCAGATGTCATTGATGGAGGGAATCCTGCGCTGGGCAGTGAGGGGATCCAACCTGGTGCTGGAGGCGGATTCGCTTGTGGTGGGATCCTATGCGGTGACCCCCGGCACTGCAGGCGGGCAGTGGCGGGAAGAGCTCGGTACTTTTCACTGCTCGAACTCCCCCCCCCCCACGTCTCAGAACTCGCTTTATTACATCGTGTCTGTGAGGGAGTAGTGTCCAGGTGGAGGTCGGAGGGGACCGGCACTGGTGTGTGGGTAGAGAGAGGCGCAGGCCCTGCCTCTGCGGCCTCCCTCACGTTGTTGTCCTGTGAGAGCGCCTCCTGGGGCTCCGGCTAGCAGGTTCTTGCTGAACTGCCCTCCTGGTGTGTGGCCCCCCGGAGCCTGGCTTGTCCACGCTGAGTCAGCATTCTGGACACAGGCCCAAGTGGCCAGTCTGCAAACATGCAGTTGGCAAGGCGTGTAGCTGCCCATAGGGCAGCATGGGGGACCCTCAGGCATTTGTGTGAGTGGATCCCTGCCAGGGAACCA